AGAAACAATCATTGTCAAAGATTCATCTGAAGACGAAGACAATCTGATTCTCACAAGACTTGGCAAAAAGAGTCACTTTCGGTCTCCTGTCAAAACAAAATCTTCCCAGGCGAAAAGTCTTACACCGAAAGAAGTTGACACGAGAGAAGCATCTCCACGGGGGGAAGAATTCACGAAAGAAACTCTCTCTCTCAGGGGGGAGCTCAGCCGAAAGTCACTCTTCAAGAAAGAATTTCTGATGCTCAAGAACCCGAAACTGATCTCGTTCTCTTCAAGACCACCATCCACAAGAACCTACTTTGGCAGATCAACTCCTTTGTGAGTTGACACAAGAACCTGTTAATGTAGATATGGAGGCCAGTCACTTAAGTCTTCCACAAGAACCTGGGTCACCAGAAAAGACGATAGAGGCGACTAATGCTTTGTTCGCTTTGCCTTGTCTGCCACAAGAACCTACCAATACAGAGCAGGTAATTCTGACACAAGAACCTGTGTTGGTAGACGAGACAGCAGTTGTGCAGGTACAACCTCCGGACATCCCGAAACCATCAGCTCCAGCTCCAGAAGTAAAAGTTCCTCAACCTTCACCAGATCAGTTGCTTAGAGAATCCATTGAAAGGGATTACAAACGAGTCCTGCAATGGCAACAGTGGCGCACTACTCCCCTAAGGACATTTCTTGAAACTTTTGAAGCAATGCAGGATGAAGAAATCTTTGCACTTGATTGGATTGGCACTGATGATGTTTCCAAAGCTCTTCGAATTGAAGAAATCAATCGAGTCTTCTCTTACAAGATGACAAATCGCACTCTCGGGAAGGATAAAGCTCCAATCTGCATCGAACTTAACAAGCCACCCTTGGATCCAGTTTTTGAAGAAGAAATGAAGCAACTTCGATATGCCGTGTTGCTATCAAAGATCAAGACCACATTAGAGAAGGAACACCAAAATGATCCGAATTGCAATGTCAGTGGCACGAAGGATGAGCTTGGATGAGAGATTGAAGAAGACGAGAGTGATGAAAATGAAGATGCAGATAATAATGATGATGATGTTGACGATGCTGATGATGAGAATGATGATGATGATGATGACGATGATGATAATAATGATCAGTTGGGTAATGAAGGTGCTCAAGAAGCCGACCCCGAAGACAGTCATACAATCTTGATCGGTCCTGACTATGACACCTACCCTCAAAGATCTCCCTTAAGAAAACTACCCTCTGACAGTGGCGACTCGGAAGAAGTTTCAACTAACCATCCAGAAGATCTGTCTCGTGCCATCGTTCCACATATCCAACCCATAGACGAGACTCAGATCATGCAAAAGAAAGCAAAAGTACGTGAGGGCAAACTGGAAGCCTCACCAATTCATCTTAGCTCAACAAGTGGTGGAAAAAGGGACGCACCACTTCAAGATGAACATATGGACACAACGCCAACAAACATTGAAGAAGAATCTGCTGCAGAGTCCCCACGGACCATCATGAACCTTATGAGGGAAACTGTCCATTCAGCCGAAACCATCCACATGCAATATCTGGCTCTACGGGAAAAGGACACGAAAGTTTTGGATGACTTGTGCAAAAAGGTTGATTCTTTGATAGCTGCATAATCTCTATCTCAGCCTCCACCTCAAGAACAGACTCAACCGCAGCAACAAAGCCAAACAGATCACAAGATCCTTGAGAGAATGGCAAAGAACCTCCACGATCTTGAAGCTGCCCTGAACAAAGTTGCACGGCAACAACACGAGATCAAACATTCTCATTTTGGTCTCAAAGAACGTATTGATTTGGCTTGCACAAAGATTGACACATATCAAGACAATTCGTACCAACTGGGAGAATACGCACTTCAAATTCTCGGATATGCCCAGGATATCTTGAATGTGATAAATAAAGTTTCCTCTATTCCTCCTACTTCTTGTGCTGATGATGCCAAAAAGGGGGAAAAGAGAAATGACGACAAAGATAAGGATGATGACCAGCCGAGAGACAACACGAAAGATCAAACTCCAGAAGCAAGGCACTCTCCCTCTCGGACACCAAGAGACTCTGGCCGAAGGAACACGAATCCATCTCATCCACCTTCCAGGTCTCGTGGTTACCATTCCTCGAAGCAAAGATATCATGGTCGATACCAATCCAAACCAATTAAGCCTCGACAATCCTTTGGTTCTGAAGCCAAGTACATCTTCACAGGTCTGCCAAAGAGAGAACAGACGAAACTAAGGCAGAGACTTGTGAGAGACAACAAAGTAACTATGGATGGCATATGAAACTTTGTGGACTTTGTTCCATATGAAGAAGGCAGTTGCAAACGTTTTGAGGGTTGCAATAATCCTACTTGGTTGAAAACAAAGGACAATTATACAAGACAAAATCACATGAGCACTCAAAACGAGAGAATCAAAAGAGAAAACAAAGAACTGTGGAAGAAGCATGATGAAGAAATCAAAAGAAGAGAAGATGAAGCAAGGGAAAGAGAAAGGATCAGAAACCTCATTGAAGATCTTTCTAGTGTAACCAAAGACTCTCCACAAAATGTTATTCACAATGCAGCTTTTAAAGTGCATAAAGAGTCAGGAAAGAGCTACCAAGAAGGCATGAATTCGTTTGAACTGATCTCGTGGTGGAAGTCTGGAATTGTTGAAGGAAGCAACATTCGAGAAGCCTATAACAATTACACTGGCCTGAATATCAAAGGAGAACATGAAGAGCTTGTCAGGTCTAATCCTATTAAAATCTTCAGAGCAAAAATCAATGAGAAAATAGACTTCAACGGGATGTTAAAGCAACAAAAGGAAAGGGATGACCGAAAATCCAAGGAAGCTGATCAACAGAAATCAAAGCTCTTAGAAATGTAAGTTAACTTTCGTTCTGTTTTTCTTCATAAAGTTTTTGTAATGATCACATCTTTATATATGAAACTCTCATTGTCACACATCTCGTGTCACTTGTCTGAGTTATTTGTCCTTGTCTTTCTTATTAACGCTTTAATCTAGAAAAAGACTTGTAAACTCTCAAGTATGGCTGTTTTTATAATAGAAAAATCCTTATGGAACTTTTATCAGCCTTATAAGAAGAGTATAGGTTTTGGCATCATCAAAAAGGGGAAAATTGTTAGGAACATTGTATTAGGATTTTGATGATACCAATGTAATGTAGAAAAGTAGACCCCTAACTATTAGCTTTTTCAATCGCTGCTTTCGTCCTAGACGAGAGTTGCCATAACTCCTCTGTAATTCGTGTTAAGCTAGACAAACACACGAAAATGAGTTATGACTAGATGTTAGGGTCTCCAAGACGAAAGAAGACACGAGACATGAAGAATTACAACGAGAGTTAAGCAGGAGTTGTCAACTAGCACAAAAAGACAGTGTTTGTTAAAGATGATCCTTATCAAACATTACTTCTCTTCAACAACGAGAAGAATGTTCTACCTGTCTGATTTGACAACATCCTAGGACAATAAGGACCTCATCTTAAGGGACACACTTTTCAAGGAGCATTAAATGAAGATGTACCATCTTCTGAAGATAAACGGCTACATGGTACAACCTCATTAATGGAGCATTTAATGCATGAAGCTCCCCGGTCCTTGTCCAATGGTTAAAAGGTTCGAAAATCTCATCTCCCTCCAACGGATGAATTTTCATCACCTATATAAACCCACCTTCATCAACTAAGAAGGTGCTGGTTCATTCTCCTCGACTTACTTACTTGCAAAAGCTCTTGAATCGCTCACCATTTATAAAAGCTTTTGTGAACCAGTATTGAGGTGCTAAGTTACTTGAAGAAGATTATTGATCTTTCTCTTACACCTCAAAGGAAGTCTTGCCATTTGTTTGAAGCAATCATATCTCAGAGCCAAGACTTCATCGTTGGAGAATTCAAGAAATCACTTTCTACCAACCTCAACTCAGGAGAAGAAGTTGATAAAGGCGGAGTAAACTCGAGGAGTTGAAAAACCTACAAAGGTTGTCCGGCTTAGTGATCAAGGAAGTCTTTGTGTAATTGTACTAAGAGTGATAGTGCAACCTTCCATCAGTTGTGGAAGAAGAGTGGAGTAGGCAACGTTAGCCGAACCACTATAAAATCTCGTGTCCTTTCTATCTCTTTACTTACACTTTTCCATTCTGCATTCATATCATCCCTTCTATCACCGTTACCGAAAGTTTTTCTAATTACGCAAACTCGTGCAAAGTATTTAAAACAAATCTATCTTATCCGCTGCGCTAAAACACCGAAAGGTGACGTTTAGGGCTTTTCACGAAAAGAGTCTATTCACCCCCCCCCCCCCCTCTAGACTCTCTTTACATTCTATCGGGACCAACAGGCATGGCGGTTTTCTAAAGGTTTAATAAGGCATTTGAAATTGGATCCAGCGCTGCATTATGATTACTTCTCAGGGGTCATACTGTTGTAAGTTAAACATGCTTAACTATAGAGTTCTTTGGTTATTTGGTTGTGATATCATACTGGTGATAAGTAGGTGGACATTAACCATTTAACCTCATCTTTCCATAATAAGCTGTAAGCCGCAAGCCGCAGCAACACGTCTAGAATCGAGTAGGGGCTGAACTCGACGAGTCTAGCGAACGCCGTACATTTTATTAACTAAGATTGGATTTGTAGGGTTAGCCATCTTCACAAGGAGACTGACTATTATTTTGATCTGATTGTGAGTAATCATGTAGATTCGAATTGATATCCCTTCTTTCTGGTGTTCTTGCTAGGGTTGTATAGCCTCACATGCATGCTTTATTTAATTTTCTTGTGCTCCTGTTTTTTCACGTGTGGAAACAAAAAATAAAAAATAAAAAATAAAAACCATAGCTCATATTGATAAATCTGCATATACATAATATAAACCAGTTTAACATCTATAATGGACATCAACTATTTCTACAAAATGAGACATCTTTCAACAGGATTCGATTACACTCATTGTAACCTAGCTTGTTCTTGGAATTGAATAAAAATCACAACTACAATGGATGTAACTTTTTTTTTAATTTATAAACTATTACACACCGGTCTAACATTTACAAAGAAACTAAATTTCTTCTACAAATTAAGAGATCATTTAACGCGGTTCAAGAACACTAATTGTAACCTCATTTTTGGAATAATGATCACTTGATTTTGTGTAAGACATAGAAACAATGGCATTGGAATGGTTGGTAGTCACAAAAGCTGGTTCTTTAAGTGGTGGAATTGCTAAAGTAGGGTTGGTCAACATGAGAATTGCATCAAACATTGTTGGCCTATCTGTTGGAATTGCTTGGACACATAAAAGGCCCACCTCGATGCACCTTATGACTTTGAAAGTGTCGTATGATGATCTCATTATTGCCGGATCAACAAATTCATATGGTTGTCCCTCTTGCCAATTTTTCCATGCCTAATACAAAGAAAAATTAAAAGAATTATAATATTGAAATATAATATCATTTTCTTCTATATATATATACTTTATATACCAAAATCATGAAGTTACATGGCATCCATACCCATCCGATGAGGGAGACTGAAAGTTGAGGGTGAATAAAATTTGAATTCTTCTTGCCATTAATAATTTCTAACAATAGAACTCCAAAGCTGTATACGTCAGATTTTTCTGAAAATTGTCCGTGCAATACATATTCTGGTGACATATAGCCACTGATCAAATAATAAAGTTAGTTATGCAGGCATTAATAAGTACACACTGCACGCGCAAATATGATTGTGAACTTATGAGTTGAATCAAATCTTTATTAATAATGGAATCTAGCTAACTGCACTTACTATGTTCCAACCACACGATTCGTTTCTGCTTGAGTTTGATCAAGTCCAAATATCCTTGATAACCCAAAATCTGATATTTTCGGTTTCATTGTTTCGTCGAGTAAAATGTTGCTTGCTTTTAAATCTCTGTGAATGACTTTTAGTCTCGAATACTTATGAAGATAAAGAATTCCTTGAGCAACTCCTTCAATTATTTGTAAGCGTGTGTTCCAATCTAAATTATCTTTCTCACCTATATTTGGAAGAAGCAAAGTGAAGTGATGAAGTTGTTAATATATAGAAGAACAAATCAGGAAAACTAATGCTCTAAATATATGAAACCTAGCTCATTAATTATGATTCAGAATAGATAGCAAATTAAACATACCAAATAAGAACTTGTCCAAACTTCGATTTGACATGTACTCATAAATTAGTATTTTTTCATCATCTTCAATGCAACAACCCAAAAGCCTAACAAGATTCTTATGATGTAGTTTTGCAATTAGCTTTAGCTCATTCATGAACTCCTCTAGGCCCTGTGACGATTGCTTACATAGCCTTTTGATGGCTACCATCCCAAATTCAGATAAAAAACCCTGAAATGAAATGACACGAATGTGAAGTTTGAAAATAATGATCCGGGATCGAGTCTTACTAACAACATTGTGGGAACAACCTTTTAAAGTGAGGGGGACTCGAGTTACTATGATTTACATCCTCCTAGATGTTCTGTTTTGAAATTGAGGGTTCAATTTTTTGAGAACAACAATCATAAAGTGATTTGAATTGGAGATTTAATCTTTTAAGAACAACAATTATAAAGTAATAATTACCTTAAACACAGGACCAAATCCACCCACCCCAAGTTTGTTTGCTTCATTGAAGTGGTCGGTAGCATCTAATATTCTCTCCAAACAAAGTTGTAGCAATTCTACATCTCCATTTCCAAGGGGGGATGCATTTGACTTTTGACTGGCTATTGATGTAGACTTCTCACCTACATATATACATACCCATGCAATCAGTGTTCACACAGCAGTTGGCAACTATTAATGAAGGTGGTGGGAATGCCCTGCCGTTTTTTATTTTTTTATTTTTTTATTTATGCCCTGCCATATTATTGTTCCTAAAAAGTTGAATTGAATTGAATCCACAATCTCAATAGCCTGATAGAGCATTGGGAAGATATAAATCATGATAATGGCAACTTAACTGAATACACAGGCTAGACTTTTGTTAATCATGGTCGCTGGTGAAACTCGATCCTAAGTAATTGTTTTCAAATTTCACCTCTGTGATCAACTGAGCTGCCCATGTGGTCTGGTCAGCCATACTATTCAAAATGGAATTTATGTATGTACCTTTTTTTCTATCGTATCTCCGTTTGAGGGTACAACCCAAAACACTAATAACAACAAGAAAGACTGCTGCAAAGACCAAAGAAACTATTACTGCAACATGTAAAGGACGTTTGCTTTTGTGTGCAGAATTTTCAGTTCTATCTGCACCAAACACAATCAAACGAACTAAAGTAAGAAAAAGCTGAACACATTCCATGTCAAAAAGCTAACACAAAGAGAAGACAAAGTTAAACATGTCTTACTTTGCTCAAAGGCATGAACTCGAACATGGAGATCACTAATGGCAGCTGAATTGTTATGAGCCAAATCAACCAAGTCCCCAAACCAGTTTATACAATTGACATTGTCGTTACTGTAATTGGTGTAAGCTTTGTCGCTGCTGAAATTGGTGTAAGCGAAAGCGGTGCAGGAACAGTTCCTGTAACACTGAGCTTCACATTCAGTAAATGTCATATTATTATTTCGCAATGAAATTTGATGGTCAGGCCATTTCATCCACTCAAGCCTCATGAACTTGTCATCTTCTTCATTGCATTCCAATGCTATTCTCCTCACACACCCTCCACTGTAAATCCCATTTTCCCAATCTCTCTGTGATTTTGGTTTAAACCCTTCCAAGCAAGTGCAGACCGAATGGGAAGAACCGATTTTCTTACAGCTTCCAAACGAACCACAGCTCCCATACATTCCACACTGAGTTGGGTCTGGAAACTGCAACCTATTCTCCCATTCATCACTGTTGTCTGGCTTTAACAGAACTTGAATATACCCGTTGGGACTCAAGACGAACCGGATTGGGACCGAGGTGTCCCGATACGTATAGCTGAAATAAACTTCATCTTCTCGTGCTGCAAATGATAAATATACTGAATATCCCTGGTTGGGAATGTACCAGGATAGAGAATAACCATACTCATACAAATTGATCCTATAATAAGGAATATTATTGTTTTGTTTCCAAATTAAGATTTGTGGAGCCCCATTGGGATCCATCCCAATCGAGAATTTCCCTGGCCGGGGATCATCGCTGCTAGTCCAAGACCTTGTAAAAGTGAACAAATCATATATATTAATCACAGCAAATACTGACTATTTATTTATAGTCCAGTGATAAGTTACAGCAGAAGAGAAAAAGGTGGAAACCAAGCTAAAAGAATTATTAACAGACCTGAGAATGTTTTGTTTTCCGGTTCTCATGTTTACCTTTAGTCTCATCTCCGGCATCAATGTATCACCGCCGCCGTAGCCATCATCAAAGCTCTCCCAAACAGTGTATTTCCCGTGCTTCAGAACAAGGTTTCCGGTGTCTTTCAGTTGCGCCTCCGCATAATAATTTCCGCCGGGACCGGAGACATTTGTCGACCATTTGGTGTTGTTTCTTGCGCCGCCGCCGTGGAGAAGGCGCAGATTCCCATCATCACCGATTGTGAAACGAGCTTCTTCGGAATCTTGGTGCACCGGAGATTCTCTGTTGGCTACCCAAATCACACTACTGTCTTTGAGGTTGTTGTACCATATCCCCAGAAAGGAAGAAGATGAGTTTCCGGGACGGAAGAAGCCTAACGCGAAGTTCCCGTTGGAGGAAACTAACGTAGTGTTTGGAGTAACAACATCGCCCCGTCTGAGAATGTCTGTGCTCGTTCCAAGATTGCAGAGAAAACAGAGAGACGCTAAAGAAACAAGTGTGAGATGAACCCTTCCCATACTATATGGCCGCCGTTTCCGGTTTAGTTTCGCCGGAGAAGAATGGGAATTGGATAGTTGTTCCAGTTCCGGGAAGTTTAGGGACTTATATTTGAAACGGGAGTTAGGTTTGTTTGTATGTTGTTTTATTTTTTTGTTGGGTCGACACCGACAACACGATTATCAATTTATCATACCTAGCTATCTCATGTTACATCAATAATTATCATGTTGCCAAACCACTCAAACGAGAAAACAGTAACCGAATTTGGAAAACAACCAAATTTCACACTTTCACATACCAGAATAATATATTGTGCGTTTTCATGTAGAATATTGTGTGTATTTATGTACAAGGGATTGTTGGAAAAGTAGGCTGATAAAGTGAAAAATAAATAACTGCTGTGTCGTGGTATAACCACTGCCATAGAAGCGAAGTCGCCGCTACTGGTGCAGTCTCACAACAGCAGCGTCACCCCCGAATGTTAACACGGCAATCCCCATCTTCGTACACCCGGAGCAGGGATTGGAACATACACAACATTCTCATAGTGGAAAGGGGACCATTCAGTTAACAAGACAATATTTGTCTATGTGTCCTAACTCATTAGTACCCCACCTTAAATAGTAAAAAGGCCAAATAATTAGGACCATATACTACCTAACAAATCTTGCTCATTCACCACCTTGTGGTAAATAGTGGACCAAGACTAAGTTATCAGTGAAATATTGGCCACACACTTGCATTATATTTCCCAACAATCCCCCACAAATGCAAGGGAATGACAAGGATGCTAGCTAAGACTCTGAGAAGTATAAAATTTTGACACTTAAGTGCTAGTGAACGAATTTTGAACTGGCACGTAGTGACACATGGTATACTCTGATCTAGTGAGTGAACGAATCTTGAACTCTTAGACTAGAGGTTTAAACCAAGTGACACGCATCACACCTTAGATCTTGTGTAAGTTCCGCAAAAAAACTACATATATATTTAGCCCAACTGAACTTCGGGTTGCTAATGAGTGCTCTAAAAAGATAGCCCATTATCTTTCATAAAAGGCGGCTAACCATTTTCACTCAAGTAGGTGATCTCTTTAAGTCTATCTCAATATAGACTACCAAATTTAGGGTATGAAATCATTAAGAGCATTTTATGCTCACCCTCTCAATTATTAAGCGGTGAATTCATTAGGTCCATCTCAATAGGACCACCCATCTCATAGGGTTATAAATTCATTAAGAGCTGTAGCTCAACCTCACTAGTACACTCATCATATATAGGAATGATCAATTAGTGTACTACTTCGTGATTCTTTTCATGGCTTTGTTTGACCACAAAAGTGGGATCCACCACGAAGTCATCACCTCTTGGGCTTTAAGTCATTCCATCAATAATTCAACAATTAACCTCATAATCAGTCTTCTCTACTAAAGTAAGTTGATCCTCTCGATCAAACTTACGTACACTTTAACGTGTACTTTATTTACTCACAAATAATTCCCTGAAAATTTTCATGTTCAACATCAAATATTCTCTTTAACCATTATTCTCGATACCACAGAGAGACTTTTGAAAGAAATATATAAGGAGTTAATTACCCCCACAATGCAACACTTGCAAATACTTTTCTTAAAAGTATTTGATTTCTTACCCAGATAGTTAATTACCCCCACAATGCAACACTTGCAAATACTTTTCTTAAAAGTATTTGATTTCTTACCCAGATTTATTTTAGGCGGCCAACATTAGCTCCTTAGAAGACTGAGCTACGCAGACTTTATAACAACTCTGCACTTGGTTATTACACACTCAGTAGTGGACTATATTTCAACTAAAATGGTTACCTCAAACCACTAAGATTTCCCTTTACATAGGAATCCTAGGTCTTGAAACCGACTCAATTAAGACTTTAAATCATATCTATAATTACTCATTGCCAGTAGGCCACATAGATAATATTGTTTGCATGTTGCTTCAAGTTAAACAACATAATCATAAATTTCACATACTTTCTTGAGAAAATTAAATCCTCATATTCAAAAATTATATTTAAACTAGCATTTATTAGAGAATGATTTATATCTACATAAATTTCAACAAGGTGAAATTCAACATATATAACTTTATCATTCAAAGTTATTTCAACTTCACAATTTTCCCTTCACTTGAGAAAATTTAATAACTCATATATAGCATTGATGTAATGCAAATCAATAAAAAATTTCATATTTATTCTCAAAAGAATAAATAGCCCCCAATTATTTATAACATGGGAATTTAAATCAACGCTATTATTACACCACGTAAGCAATATTTATTTGCAAGGCTTAAATTTTTTAATATCATGTGAAAGTTAAACTCATTTCACTATATTTCAATAATTGATTACCACACTAGCCATATGACCCCCACAATCCTCGTAGTGATCAAACTATTTGATTCTTCTCCATATCTACTTGATTTCATAATCAAATATATGCTATTCAAATTGATATGGTGATTACCCATGCATATAATCTTTGTATGCATGAAACTTAAGTTTAAACATGTGACCATGCATGCATTATTGATACTTTAAGTATTAAATGAAGAAGCACATATATGAATGCATGCATAACTCAAATGTAATACTTAGCTTCTCGTAAGTAGCAGGGTGAATGACGTTCGATCGTTGTTGCGCATCTTTCTTCTTCTCCTCCAGCATTAGAATATTTTGCAAGACCACCCAGATTACTCTTATGCAGTGCTGAAGTACATAATCTTGATATTAATGGAGAAGGCTGACTTGGAGAATCAACCATGCATGTTTCATGATTTCATTGCTCTCCAGACCATTGAGAAATACTTCTAATATGTCCTTCATGGTTATGATCTTCATAAACTCCTATCTCTTGTGTTCTTTTGGAACACTATAGCAGAAACATAGAAGTTTGCAAATAGCAATCCACAATACCACTTTTGCAATAATTCATGTCTAGTATGTAGCCCTCGATCTCATTGAGGGAGACGACGAAACAAGTCAATTTCAATAGCAACAACTCAATCAACAGGTTATTACTCTTCTAGGCTATGGCAGCAAATTTTAGATGTACTGCATGCACATGTTGGCAGCGATGATAACCCCATAAATCCTCCTTGTAGTGGCAACGTCTTTTCGGCATAAATCTATGACAAAAACATCTTCAAATTTTCTAATTTTTTTTTTCCTTTTATCATTCACTATTATCAGCATCAATTCGCTTCTATATTGTTGGAAAAATAGGCCGATAAAGTTAAAAATAAATAACTGTTGTGCCGTGGTATAACCACTGCCATAGAAGCGAATTCACCGCTACCGGTGCAGGCTCACAACAGCGGCGTCGCCCCCGAAGGTTAACACAGCAATCCCCACCTCCGTACACCCGGAGCAGGGATTGGAACATACACAACATTCTCAGAGTGGAAAGGGGACCATTCAGTCAACAAGAAAATATTTGTCTGTGTGTCCTAACTCAATAGTACCCCACCTTAAATAGTAAAAGGCCAAATAATTAGGACCATATACTACCTAACAAATCTTGGCCATTCACCACCTTGTGGTGAATAGTGGACCAAGACTAAGTTATCAGTGAAATATTGGCCACACACTTGCATTTTCCCAACAGTTCTCATTGGAATATTAGAGCATCCATAATAGCGGATTTTAAGTGCTTTTTGCAAGTATGAATGCACATTTGGTGGATAGAGAATGAGGGGAGAGAAGAATTGAGTGTTTTGCAAGGAGATCTGGTTTATAGCTCTACAGTGGGCAGTGGACTCCCCACGCTGGGTGCGTAATTTCCTTTGCCCATTATGCGTTAGGGAGTTAGGGGATGCGCTTATAGGCTTTTTTAGGTAGAACTTATTTTAGAACTTCAAATAAACTATAAGTAAAACATGGAAGATTAAAATAATAATTTATTTCAAAATGCTATCCTATGTAATGTTTCAAAATATGCTCATGACTTTTTAATTTCCCATTTTTTTCTTTATTAATTTACAAAAAATACATAATGTAACACCTCACTTTTTCTAAATCATAATTACAATTCTAAACCACAATTAACATAAACTAAGCAGCGGAAAACAACTTAATAAGTAACTAGTGGGAATGTCACCGCCACAACCACCACTCCGTGGTGATTGCACAGGATAAGGATGGAACTATAAATAAATCAAATAACTAACATCCATAAAACTTAATATAAAAACATAAAGGGGAAAAACACACCCCGATGTCTACATCATCAAAACAACATAAGTCTATAAATCCGACAAATAACATCATGATAAAAGACTATGAGTTCAGACTACTAGAGATACTAGACTAGTCTAACTCGACAACCTCTCAACGCTGGGCCCACCTGAAAGGGGGTTTACAAACAACACATAGACAAATAGGAAAACACCCGTTAGATCGAAGCTAAGTATAACCACACTCAACCCTGTAAAGTGCTATAGAATATACTACTTTGGAAAAACATTTGTTCGCATACTAAGTCAAACAATCTCAACACATAAACAAATGTAGATACATCACAGACTTTCTATATGCTTGCACCCTATAATATCAACATGCATGCTTCAATACAAATGACTTAACAACATAAAGATTCCAACACATAGATATCACAACGATCTCATCGTAACGAACTCATGCTTACAAGCAATTTCATACTATTAAACAATACGAAAACTATCGTCACGTTTCCAAGTTCTCATCATGCAAACTGGATATACAAGACCTCAAAATGTAACTAAAGCAATCATACTCGACATACAATCTCGATTCATCATTCTCATTATGCAATCTCATGAAATACTCTACTCAAATGCAATCTCGTGCAATACTATAAATATACTCATACACTCGTTTGTAAAATAGAATATATTTCTGTGGAGGTTTCTTAGAGTCGAAATGACTCGCTTTCTTTCTCTTGAGTCTCTTGACTCGATTTCTTTCTTGCTCAAACTTTCTCATACTTCTCATTTTTCTTCTTGTGCGAGGCAGGTACTCCGCCGCAGCGAAGCCCTAGCGTATGATGCAATCTTGTGCATCCGCCACATCCGTAACT